TTGTATAAAAAAAAAACTTACAGATTAGTGCCATAGAAATTTTATCAAAATCGATTAAGTAATTTAGTTTGTGAATCAAAATAATTTGTTTTGCATTAATTGAAGTGAATTGTTTTGTAGAACACAATTTAATTATTTTATTGAGGTATTTTACGAGAGAAAATGAAATGAAATGTTTCCTAAAGAAACATGGGTAGAAAAATTAAAGCTTATAGGTACTAAATTGACATATGAATATATAAGGCAATTGATCGGCACAGCGGCCAAGTCATTGGCTTATAGAAATAAAGATGTCTAAATTGATACAGTCACATTGAATGTTGATAAGTAATAGATTAGACAACAATTTATAACAAAAATGTTAAATTGGTGCTTTCATGGACACTAACTAAAATAAAGGATTTGCTTTTATATGAGATCTTATTTTTTCTAGTGAACGCATTTGCGTTGCAAGACTTGTCTTTTTTTACATTTTATGTTTTTGATAAGATATATTATTATAAGTAGGTATTTAAACATGTATAATATGCACATACTTATTAGTAATATCTGTCATTAATATGAACTTTTTTATTACATTTATTGTGCCAAATAGCTACCATGTTCTTTCTTTTTTACTCTATACAAAAGTTTACTTTAGCAGTAAAAGTTATTTTATAATTGTAATATGTATAGATTATTATTTTTTAACTAGTATAATAAAGAGTAAATAAAAAAAAAAAATAACAAGCCCTGTTATTATAAGAGGGAAATATTTTTTTCGTTTTTTGAGGAAAAGTTCTGTTGCACACTAAACAAATGCTAAAGATATAATTTTCATTCTGTATATTATGTGGTAATTTATTAAATTATTATTTTCGAAAATACATAATAAGTTACTAATTATTATCATCATCATAGCCTATCTTATATCATAGCCTGTTGTGGTCCACTGCTGGGCAAAGACCTTACTTAAATGCTTCCACTTCCCACCGTCGCTGGTTAAGGCGTACTATTCACTAATAACTATTTTTAATTATTTAAAATTGGATGGATGAAACAAGAATTACGAAAGAGATTTATGGAGCAAGAATGAATGAAGATGTCGGTAGGGGCCGCCCTAGACGGACGTATGTTGACCAAATAGGCGACGTGCTGAAGAAGGGCCAAATTAAAAGTACCCGTAACCGGCGAGCATGTATGAAAAGATTGATGAATGTAGAAGAAGCGAAAGAGGTTTGTTTGAATCGAAGCATTTGGCGTTCCATTGTTTCTGCCTACGTATGTACGTATATGTATGTATGTATGTAAAATTCTAATGTATTCAAATTTAGTAATAAACGTAATTTTGAGTATAGATATTTGTAATTCCTTACACTACCGGAGTTCATTCCTCAAAAGAGTTGTAATATGTATAATATGCATTAAAATAATTTTAATAAAGTTTTAATCAAAGAAATAAAATAAACCTGGCAGTTAATGATTTTTTCATTTATGCTGCGTAGAAAAGCTGTTTACGTTACGGGAATAATATTAATTCCCGTAATGTAAACAGCAGAAAATTAAAAAGAAAATAATTACTTCAGAATTACTGGCAGTTATGCACATAGAATACATTATTTCTTTTATAAAATTGGATTGGATTGGAAAAATATCAGAATTCAGTGCGTTTCTTTGTTTTGTTACGTACTTCTTGGTGTCTTTACAGCTCAACCTACCGTTATGTAATTATCCTGATCAATCAATATTATATTGTCGATATTATGCAGACGAAGTCACGGGGATATCTGGTAATAATTTTAAAAACTTATGTTCATTTTATGAAAATCTATGGGGCAGACCTATGACTAGCAGTGGACGGATAATGGCTGAAATGATGATGATATTGACGTTCATTTTTAACGATGTATATGTATTATGTATAACGGTAATTTCATGAACATACTACGTTTGTTGTTTCTGACAATATTTCGATTTCATCTAGAAGTTTTCTTCAGGGGGAGTACGATACTTTGCGTCACAGTGTCTCCCACTGTGGGCTGCAGCCTGCAGAGCCCATGAAGGCGGCTTCATGGGCTTAATAATTTATAATAATATTCGTCTATATGGGTGTCTCTGTCTTACCTGCCTTCCTGCCGTCAAGCAACTGCTTGACGTGTTTGCATAACTGTGTTTCAGTTTGAGGTGTGAAATATGGCAGTGAAATTACAGGGCAAGGAGGCGTTATATTTAAATACCATGGACTTCAGGGTGTTAGCATTTTGTGATGTTCAGTGTGCTTTTCTTATCATAAAATAAAATTGCATTAGTGAAAAAATACATACACACTTTACATAATATATTCCCTATTTCGTATAATAAAAATAATGTCAAACTAGTTATAACATACTTAAATTTAACTCATTTTATGAATGTAATATTTGGGAGCTCCCAACACTTCCCAAATATATAATTATGGTAAATATTTCGTTCATACAATAAATTGAGTAATTTTTTTAACATTCAACCATGATATAAAATTAAAATAGTATGTAACATATTTAAATATTTATATTTTAATTAATTTGCAATTTATTTATCTACTAGATAAATAAAATATAAATTAAATTTAGTAGTTTGAATTACAAAATTATATTCCCATTTCGAGGAAAAGTATGATATGTGCTTGGTTGGGAATATGAACTACGTAGGATCTGAATGTAAATTATCCCATATTTATACTTTTCCGCCATAAAAAAAATATTTCTTCTATTTGTAAATCTTATATAATTTAGTTTATCAAAATTAGATTAGATTCAAAATGCAAGTAATTTAAAGATTATTTCTATTAAAAGAATGATATAACTTTTTATGTCTATAACTTATTCTTATTATTCTTTAGCTACACAAGTTTTTCACTCGAACATTCTATAGTTTTAGTTTAGATAGACAAAGGTTGACTGTAAGAGATCCTTCTATGGGATAAATCCGCCATTATATATTAAATATTTTTTATATATCCAATGTAAATTATGTACAATAAAGATTACCATATATAAAGATAACTATTTATTTTATTTTCATTTAAGTATTGTTTTTATTGTTTAATTTTGTTCCATGTAAATTTTGTCACGATTGACATCGCCATTTTTATTTCAAGAGTAAAATCTAATTTATTAACAAATTATTCTATATTCTAAATTCAGATATTTGAATTGTGTCTCTAATTATCGCATGATACGTCACAAATTTAGTATATATAACTTAATAAAAGTATTAATTTTATCACGTTTTAATTTGTTGTTATTTTTTGGAGAGAAATCTACTTGTTTAATGACCGTATTCGGCTCAAACTGTTCTCTGGGCAGAGTGGTAAAATGAAAAAGAAAAGTGATGTGTCATGCGTTCATTATAACGTACTTTTAGCTATATATATGTGCGCATAAAAATATTTCTGAATCATATAACGAAATTTATATGGAGTCCATGGAAAGTAAGAATTCAAAAAGAATGATTAAAATCGATTCAGAATTGGCGAAGATATAGTATAACGTATCCATCCCTATCCCATCAGTCGTTAGGTTTTAATTGATTCGTGATTTTACAGGTTCATAATTAATTAATGTTACTATAAAAATATTTAATTGATTGAGCGAGCTTCACGATGTTTAAAGCCAGTCATTAAGGGATTACGGGGTTTCTTTAGAGCTTGTTACAAACATTTATATTTTTTAAAGTACATTTAATACATTTGGGAATCTATTTTTATTTTAATATTTAAGGAATTTTTGTCATAATACTTGTACTAGTATAATAAAACGAAAGACTTTTTTTTGTTTAAACGCGTTAATTTGTAGAACTATCTATTAATCTGTTTTAAAAAAATGCATTTGGCAGATCATTTATTAAGGATGGTAATAGACTATTCAACACCACGATACACTATGAGCGAAACTGTGTGATACAGCTAGTTTAAAATATTTTTACAACACAGGGGGCAAATGAGCATGCGGCTCACTTGATGGTAAATATCATAAATATTGAAAAATCAAATCATTTCTTATAATAATAATTATTTTTTTTAATCGATCGATAACTGTTATGCTATTTTTTGAGCGTTTTTTTAACACAATGCTTTACTGATTTAGAAAGAACATATTTTCTTATGCAATATAAAATGGGCCAACAAGCTGATGGCCTAATTAGATGAGAAGTGGAAACAGCCACTTATAGTCCTCCTATGATTCTCATGCGATCCCTATGCGTCGGCATTTCCCATTATTAATATCTTACCTAGATACCTTGTAATTTTACTGTCATATCTTGCCCATCAAATTGAAACACAGCCATGCAAGGACAGTTGCTAAGTAGAACCACTTCTATGCGAAATTTTAATTAGAAAATTTATTAACAACTAAATTATTATTAACATTTTATGTTCGGATTGAGCTTATGCTCTCAATCTCGAGGTAGGGTTATAAATGATTAAACCACGAAGTAATTTTCTCTTATTATTATTATCTACATCAATTCAAAGGTTCCTTCGTAATGAGCCAGTTTGAAATAGGTGAGTAGGTACCTAACAGTGAATGCAACAAGTTAAGCTCTCTCAGTAAGCTTTCGTTAATATTAAATTGTAATTTCAGAGCTAGTTGTTATTATATTATTACAAAAGGAAGTAGGCACTTTGTACAAGTCTGTACATTGGTTAATATTAAATTATTAATTAGTGTACAAAATAATATTTAATAAATAAAACGTATTTTCTTAATTTAATAACTTAGAACTTAATTTTTAGAAACGAGTAATGAATTTTAGAATAATGATTCTAAATTTAATTATTAAAAATTTTTTTTTTATTTTAAATTTTATGTGTATGTGTATTTTAATTATTGTTTCCTATTTAATTGAAAAAATTCCAAACAAATTCCCATAAATGTATTTCGTTAATTAAAAGATATTATTTTAAATATAATTTATGCTTAAAATAATAATGATAACAATAAATAAATACTTATTAAATATTAAGATGTTTTACGTACCCAATGCAAATTAAATTACAAGCTGGAAAGAAAAAAATTAAAATGTTATGGAACCGACACCTTCGACACTATGAGGGAACTGTTCACTTGCACTAATTTAGTGAGGTCCGTTGCTCGCGTAGGATCTGATCTATCTGGAGGGAGCCCGCGCGGCGTCCTGTACCGGCGGAGTCGACGCTTGCACTGCTCCAGTCTGGCTCCCTCCCACCCTCCCTGTACCTGTTACGTACCTGAAATGTACAGGTATAGTTCCCATATATTCAGTAAGTAGCTGCTATTGATGGACAATCAGAATTGATTTCCGCAATAGCCGCGACCACTAGGTTTGGACAGTGTTTTCTAATTTACATTTTTAAGCAACTTCAAAAAGGATGCACACAAGAATTTTTTTTTTATACGTAACGTGCTATATTTGTTAAGTTTGTAACGATTTCAATGGTTTTTTTTTAATCTAATGTTTACTTTCTTGAGGATTATATCCTTGGAGTCAGCAGGCATCAGGAGATCCAGTTATTCGCTAAGCTGGTGTAAGTTGGGACTCTATCAGGTGAGATTATGTTTAATATATATATTTATTTATTGCACTTGAACAAAATATATATGTTAGCAAGGGTGAGCTTATCTCTAAAAGATATCTCTTCCAGCCAACTCAATGCAGTTAGAGAGAAAATAATAAATAATAAAATAAGTAATACTACTAATACAAAATTTTCCTCGATTAAAATTAATTGTTCTTGGAATAACATCTAAAATAACTATATATTATCACGTACAAAATAAATGCAAGACTTTTTTTTATAATTAAATGACTATTCTATTATTTAATATTTTTTATGTAACGGAATGGCAACCAAACTGACGACGAAAAAGTGGTAACCGTCACCTAGAGACATGAAAGTATTCTAGATATAACAGAGTATACTATGTTGCCTATTATACTCTTCATGCGTTGCCATTCCTGATCACTAAGGTATTTTGTTAGTGTTTTTTATGGTCTAGACATTTTTATAATTAATTTGAAGTACAAAAACAAACATGTACATAATAAGATAGTTGACAAGAGAGAAAAATTACCTACAATTTATTAGGCGGTAACCCTGCCTATATTATGGGTATACACTGGCAGGGTATCTTGTATAAGTGAGATTTGTACAAAAGTAGAAGCTTGGGTACCTCTGTCCATTCGTGACAAAGTTGTGTTTAATAGCTGTAAATCAGTTTGACGATGATTTCTCGTGAATTTACTGGGTACAGAGGAATAACACCTGAGTCCTAGTAATGGCAACGCATGAGGGGTATCATGGGCGAAACAGTATACTCTGTTATGTCCATGTTACTGCTCATGTCTATAGGCGACCGTTACCACTTTCCATCAGGTGGGCCGTCAGCTTGTTTGCCATTCTAAGTTGTATAAAAAATAAATAAAAAAAAACCACTATGGGTATACACTGGCAGGGTATCTGTAAGTGATGATAGGTAAGGATGTAGCAGGTCAGTAGGTCCATCGTGACAAATTTAATAATAAATCAATCGCGATGGTTTCTAGGGGGAACCGCAAGAAAGTCAACCTGGTAAAGTATATTGCTGTATAAACACCATTTTTAATAATCTCTTTCCTCCCGGAGTTATCTCGTTAGGAATATCGATCATTTTCTCTTGAATTTGTACATTTTATTTTAAAAAACAAAGCGGACATTTTGAAACCAAGATTCCCAATTTCACCTATTTCTATTTTGTATCATATTATACAAGTCAACTAAAACAAACCTTTACATTCTTTATCTTGGTTCGTATTTGTCTTTCGTCTTCTAAGTAGGTCGGCAGGTACTTTCCAGCTTAACAACCTATTATAATAATATCACTCACATTTATTATTTACATTTATATTTGTCAAGAATGTATATAACTGATTTAAAAATAATAACTAACAATGTACCATAAAAAAACAATGACCCTATATTACAATTCTTCGTAAGATTATCTATATAAGTTGCAATAATTATAATTAGATGAATTAACTTTATATAAACTCAACATTCTTTATGTAGCACTAAAATTTTTGCTGAGTTATTAGTATAGTATTTAATGAGGGTAGAGCGCTTTTGTCTGAGATACAGGTTTTATAACCTAGTTCAGACACAGATGTGATCCAAAAACCTACCTACTTTTACTGATCCAAAATGCAATAAAATTATTATTATATGAGTTACCTAACACACACACACACACACAATATATATATATATATATATATATATATATATATATATATATATTATATTATAATATTATATATATATATATTATTATTATATATTATATATATATATATATATATATATATATATATATATATATATATATATATATATATATATATATATATATATATATATATATATATAATTTTGCGATACTTTTACTTTATTATAGTCACGCACTTTCAACCTAAAAAATACTTTACATTTATAAGCATTTGGTGAAAGAAAAACCTTCTGTATAAAAAAGTAGTTACCAACATAAAATTTACGCAAAGAAACTTAACGCTAACTAATTTATAAATAAAAAGGCTACTGTTTTCGCCGAGAGACCTAACAGAAAAAGTTGAATAAGCAACACGAAAACAACAACGTAAAAACGACTTAAAAACAACACGCAGAACACACTAAGCCCTGTGGAATAGCATGGTATGTTTTTCACACTGACTTATTCCAAATTACTCTCTATGGATTTGAGATAGTGGAAATGAAATCAAGTGAAACAAAATTATAAAAAAAAATATGAAATGAACGTTTGAGATATTGTGGTCGATATTATTTGTTTTAGGTTAGCTTGCTGGATAGACATCGTTCTGTCATTGACAGCTAGAAACAGTTTGTATGGGAAAAATAAATATGGGTGTTCTCATTTTTCCCGGCAATTTTTTCCAATTTTGCTCTGTTAAAAACCTTTGTTAAGCTTTAAGTTATATTAAACAAAGCCACGCCCAATTGGTAACGTCTTTCTAAAAATTGTATTTAATGTTTTATTGTTTTTCCAGCGATCCAGGTTCTCAATTCGTTTGTATTGCTTTTTTTGTTACCTTATAACTCGATCAGTTATAAACCGATATAAAAAATTCTTTTTTATCTAAAGGAATACATTTATAGAGTGTTCTCATAGAAATTTAATCGAAATCGGTTCAGTAGTTTAGATTTTAACCACTAGTTTTGTTACAATTAAATTAAGTTTTTTTTTTTGTGGGTCACGATTTTTAATTATTATATTTTGTATAATAAATATATCTGTTGTAAAATTTATTATATATGTATATATATAAAATAAAATAATTTAATATATATACTATATTAATAATTTATTTCTTATATAAACAGAAATATAAAGTGCACATATGGTACGTGCAAGGAAGGAAAGGAGCTACCTTCCATGTGTACATATTATAACTTTACACGTATTTTACCTACTATAAAGAACATTCTATTCTCGGCAGTTAGATAAAAACAAGAGGCATAATCGAGACCTTAAATTGGGGACTATAATTCACCAGGTAGCGTCATCTGGGCCCAGCAAATGAAATACATTTGGGCAGAAAAATATTAAAATGGCAGATTGTCCGCGTGGTTTAACCAACCACGACCGCTTTAAATATGACACGCTTACTCCTTTGGCTCTATCATTACTGTACCTGCAAGAAGTCCTATATATTTTTCAACCGACTTCAAAAAGGAGGTTCTAGATTTAGTTGAATTTTTTTATGTTTGTTATAACCAGTTATAAATCGATTTTAAATTTTATTTATCTGAAAGGATAATAGTCATAGATTGTCACAAGGATTTTTTTCAAAATCGGTTTAGTACTTTAGTTTTTAAATCAAATAACAAATTTTGTTATAATTGAGGTCGGTGTTTTTGTAGAATATATTTTTAAATTATTTTGTTACCTGGTTGTTACTGTTGTTAAAAAAAAAAACAGATGAAGAAAAAAAATAGATCATCTACTTTAAATGTAATGTTAGAGATGTAGTAATAACAATGCTTTGTAACTCAAATATGTATATATACATACAAATTATCCGTTTATGCGACGACAGAGATTATTATTTAAATATATATATATATATATATATATATATATATATATATATGTATAAATTGAACAAAATTCGCTTTGATTCGCAATTATCTAAACTTCTCAAACTAAAACAGTGTTGTAGAGATTCTTTTAAACTGACTCGCGACGATAAATTGACTGAATCTAACTTTAAAAAGGTACTATCTAGTTCGCTTCTGTATGTATTATACACTCCACACCGTTCAGGAACTGCGATTTTTCCCTCAGGAATACGAGACTACTAAGAATGCGAAATGTCACCGTCTGCATACTGTAAAGAAACGAAGAGCTCAAATTTTTGTTGAACAAGGAATGAAGTTTTTAGGGACAAATAACATGAATACAATATAAGATTACCACAAAAAAAAAACAATTTTAATATTGGTAAAACCAGATGTTTTGATTTTAAAATTAAATCATTGAACCGATATTGATAAAATTTCTATGGAACCAATATTTTAAATGCATAGTTACCTGTATGAAACAACTTCAAGTTACTCAGTGAGCTTGGAGAGGGCTATGTTCGGAGTTTTTTTGCATGACAGATTTCGAAATAAGGATAACCGCAGAAGAACTTATAGCAATAAATATGGAAATAACACTTTAGTATTAATTAGACAATGCAACGTATATAATATAATAATCACTGGAGTTGTGTGTTGTGCAGTTCATAAAGTTGTTCACGTCTTTGTAACAGTTGCCACTTTTCATTACTTGGGCTGTCAGTTATTTTAAAATGTATAAAAAAACTCACAGTTTAAAAAAACTTTTAACAATAATGGGTATATTTATTATTTTAAAATAACTATTTATACTGATTACAACAGGCAAATTTAGTCAATATTTTATAAAACTATAGACTTTTTGGACAAGGTAAAGATAGCCACAATGATATATTCAATCGATTAATCGATTTTTAATTTGTACTATTTTTATATATACTATCTGTAGTAGATGGTATCAGTTAAGAGTTTATATAGAAGATCCATATTATAGACTAGTTAAAAAATCTTGACATCATACACTTATATACATAATATAATAATCATAATATAATATAATAT